ACACATCACTGTTTATTCTGTTTGTTGTAAAACTCTTCTGATGTGAAAAAAACCATTAGCACCCAATTGCTCTTTTTCACTTTTTAAAAAGGAAGTCACAATAGTGACAGAAATATTTACAAGTTAATCACTAAATCTCTTTACACACAGAAACTCATACGCTACCAGTTCAAGATAAAGGATTAAAATGTATATACCTTACATCACACATGCAAATATATTAAAGGTTAGAACTTACCATGTGACAGCATGAGACCCCACCTATCATAAACTGATTTAATCTCTAAATTTTCATTTCCAAATGGAACAATTAAATTTCCTACCTCACTAAGCAATCTTGCCCACCATGTTTCTCAGTCCAACAGGTTCAATAAAATTTCCCTCATGATATCATGTTCATTGCTGCTGGAGCGGTGAAAAGGACCTTTGAAATATATCGGGACACTTTGTTAGAAGTTAAGTAATGCTTGAACAACAGATACTCTGGAAATTTTCTGAAGTTTAGTCCTAAAAAGTGTAAGTGTTGTGATACGCTACCTTATAGGAGTCACCAGCAGAAAAGGCAAGTCTTGGTTATAGGCATCTTGCTAGGGATTGCCCTTGTTCTGGACATATAATGAAGGGATGAGGAGGCCACGCCAGTGCAGTACCACTGACATAGGAGGGGGCAGCATGCTTCCACTCTTCGGGACATTTCTTCTTAATTCTCTGGGCCTCCAATGCAGGACTTTAGAAGGTGTTTACCCTCTCTATTCATTGCTGAACTGTCCTGTAATATGTCAGTGTGCCAGCCATAGTGGATCCCACATTCATTGGAAGTGGATGCACAGAGTAAATATATACTGTACATTGCAGTGAGTGACTGGCCATCCTGCAACAGCTCCCACCTCTGCTAGAGGCACGCAGGCCGGTCATTGTGGTTGGAGACTTTAACTGCAACATTGAGGCAGTTGGATGATCCAAAGGGGCAGACACCAAACTGGGTTCCACGTTCAGATTCCTGATGGAAATGGCTGAAGACACAAAACTGCATGACGTCTTCAGCACTCCTGCAGATGCAGCACAGTGTAGATAGACCTGGTTGTGACCAGAGGGGTCTATCTGCTCAAGGATAGATTTCCTGTTTATGTCCCAATCATTCTCTGTCAGATCCACTGACATTAAGCTAGTGCTTTTCCCCTGACTACTGCCTCACTGTCACTTACAGGACAACCAGCAGGCCAGCAAAGGAACATCAAAGCTGAACGTAAAACTGTTGACTATGGAACACATTGAGGAGTTCAAAAAGGGATTACATAGGTTGGAAAACCGTGGAGCCCCTCTTTCAGTTTCTAGCTGACAGGTGGGAAACAGTCATGGGGAACATAGAGAGGTTTTTCTTCCTTAAAGGTGTTCAGAAGGAAAGAGAAAGACGGGGTAAACTGTCCAAACTCTAGAAAGGCATTCAGAACCTACTTCTGGTGCAGATGGTGGGGATTGATGATGTCAAGGAGGATCACCTGGGGATGAAGAACCAGCAAGCCTTGCTCTTTGTCTTGGAAGCCTCCAAGATAATCTTCTGGTCCAGGATCTACACCGTGGAGCTGGATGAGACATGTTCACATTTCTTCTTCCTAATGTGCACAGGGAGAGCTCCATGATCAACATCCTGATGGAAGAAGATGGTTCAGTAATGTCATCTCAGTCTGACATCCTAAGGATCAGCAAATCCTTTTATGCACACTGTAAAACATGAAGCCCACAGATAGTACAGTCTCCCATTTGTTCCTGTCCTCTATCATGGAGGTCTTAGATGACAGCTCCTGGGAGAGGCTAGACCAGCCGCTATCTTTGGATGAGCTGACCAAGGCCCTTGAGTCCTTAGAAAAGAATAAAACGTCCTGAAGCGATGGCTTACCAGCTGAGTTGTATTCTGCTCTGTGGGTCTCGATAGGCCAGGACCTGCAGGAGGTATACGACACTATGCTTCCGACAGGTAGCATGTGCAAATTGCTGAGGAAAGATATCATCATTCTTATCAACAAGCAGAAGGCGGGAAGGGAGAAAATTGGAAATTGGTGATTGAAGATTATAACAATTTCATTGTTGATTGAAGATTATAAACTCCTGTCTAAGCTCATTGCCAACCTGGACAGATCTGCTCTGGGATCAGTCGTCCACCCTGACCAAACCTGTTCCGTACCAGGCAGGAAGATCTCTGAGACCCTTGTGCTCCTCAGGAACACGATTGCCTATGTGCAGGACAGGGGTGGTTGGACAACTGCCTCATCACCCTGGACCAGGAGAAGGCCTTTGACAAGATATTGCACACCTGCATGTGGGCCGTGCTCTCCAAAATGGCCTTTGAGAAGGGAATCGGCAGTTGGATCTCATTGCTCTACACCAACAGTATTAATTAGCAGATGTGAATCAGAAAGCTTCCTGGTAACGTCTGGAGTCAGGCAGGGCTGCCTACTCTCTCCTGCCTTGTTTGGTCTTGTATAGAGCCTTTCACTAAATCAATCAGGATGTGAGCTTGAAAGAGGTGACTACTCCAGACAGCAGAGCCTGCAGGTCAAAGCCTCCCTGTGGGTGGATGATGAATCCATTTTCTGCTTGGATCCACTGTTAGTGCACAAACTCAGGAGCATTTGTGACCAGTTCAAACTGGCATTGGAAGCCAAGGTAAATCAAGACAAGAGGTGAGGCCATGTTCTTTGGGAATTGGGCTGACCAATCCTTTACTTGCATCACTGCTTGGTCAGATCAGCTGAAATTGCTGGGATTATGGTTTGGAGGGACTGGGGTGAGTGCCAGAACTTGGGAGGAGTGTATTACCAAGGTGAGGCAGAAACTGGGCATATGGGAGCACCATTACTTCTCCATTGTCGGTAGAAACCAAGTCATCAGCTGTGAGGTACTCTCAATTAATTGCATGTAGTGTAGGTCTAGCCAATTCCCCGAGCCTGTGCCACTGCAGTCACCCAAGCCATCTTCCACTTTATCTGGAAGTCAAAGATGGACCATGTCCATAGGGAAACCCTGTACAAAGTTCTGGATAAGGGAAGTGGTGGAGGGGGAGGGAGGGGGGGCGTACCCAATGCCACACTTGTCCTGATGGCCATCTTTCTGTGCAGCTACATCATGTTGTGCATAGACCCTCGGTATGCAAACACCAAGTGTTGCTACATACTGAGGTTCTACCTGTCCCTGGTGTTATGAAGGATGGGCCTGGTCTTGTTGCTGTGGAACATTCCAAGTAGTTGGACCATTCCATATCACCTGTTTCTTGTGGAAAAATTTGTAAAAGAAAACACCTCTTACCACTAGTCCATTAGGCAGTGGTCAGCACATAGTGTCCTCAAGACCCTGAAGGAAAAAGAGAGGGCTGATCCTGTTGGTGGTTCCCAGAGCAGACTATCAAAGTTATTTGAGATTACCTCATCATCAGAACTTTCTAACAAGCACCAAGACATCCCTTGGCTGATGGCGGAAGGGCACTGCCTGTCAGATCCCCCACGTACACCCGGACTCTGCACCAGCATACATTGTCTTTAAAGCAGTTGTGTTGCCAAAGACACGGTCACATGTCTCCTTATGAAATGTGCCTGTGCAAAAAAAGTCTGGAGGGAGATGCAGTGGTTGTGACTGTGGTTCATTCCGAGTAGGTCTGTGACATAGGACTGTGTGCTCTATTGGTCTGTTCCCCAGGACATGGTCTTCGAAGCGCAGACAATCAACTTGGTGAAAGGTGCTCTTTGGTCTGCCTCTAACTTGCTGGTCTTCCAGTGCAAAGAGTGGACCTCGATGGAGTATTGCAGATTGACACATTCCAATGTCCAGGATTATGTGCTGAGGGATGCACTAAAGCGTGGGGCAGCCGCTGCCAAAGTACAGTGGGGCAAGACTATTCTCCGAGTTCTTTCTGCCAAAATACAAGAGGGGTCTACAGGATACAGGAGTTGTCAGACTCTTTCGTTGCCTCAAAGCAGTGTATATAGTGTTCTGTATGAGTTAAGAAATGCATTTGGCCTTTGCAACTGTGGGTAATGTCAAATCCAGTTTGTTTTCCTTGACATGCAAAGAATCTACAGAACTGCTGTCGTACCTGTGCATGTACATAAACATTTTTTATGAATAAAGTATATTTTTGCAGTTAAAAAATGTGGGGAATGACCACCATAAGGATCTTTCTATCAAAGTATAATGAGGTCCAAAAACAGAGGTTACTGGAAAAGCTCAGCAGGTCTGGCAGCATCTGTGAAGGAAAAATCAGAGTTAACGTTTCAGGTGCAGTGACCCTTCCTCAGAACCAGGATGTTGCCAGGACTGGAGGCTTTGAGTTATAAGGATAGACAGGAATTTTTTTCACGGGAGCATCGCAGGTTGAGGGGTGACCTTATAGAGGTTTATAAAATGGTGAAGGGCATAGATAAGGTGATTAGCAAAGGCCTTTTCCTTAGGTTGGGTAATTCAAAACTGGGGGGCTTATTTTTAAGATAAGAGGAGAAAGATTTAAAACGAACCGGAGGGGCAACCTTTTCACATAGAGGATGGTTCATATGTGGAATGCCAGAGAAAGTGTTAGATGCATGTACAGTTACAACATTTAAAAGAAATCTGGATAGTACATGATTAGGAAATGTTTAGAGGGATATGAGCCAAATGCAGACAAGTGCGACTGGTTTAGTTTGGGAAACTTGATTGGCATGGACGAGTTGGACCATGGGGTCTGTTTCATGCTGTATAACTCTATGACCAAGAAGGGAAAAGGGATGGTTTTGGCATTGTAACTTCAACTTGACAAGGACCATTCAAGTGAAGCCCAATGGGCTCCTCAAGTGAATTTCTCTCAATGATGCTCTTCCAACTGTGTTGCAAGTGGTTTTGGGATGTTTTTATAGCTCTAGATTGAACTAGCAGCTCAGATCATTAGGTGTCATATGTTGGCATTTCAGTGTGGGAAGCTTGACTCTCGTATGGAAAAAAGCTAAAAAGAAGACAAGCATAAGAATCCTGACTGAGAAATTCTTTTTTCAGCTTTATTGCAGAATATTTTGTGTGCACATTAGAAGACAAAATGATTTCTGATTCATGCAGTGTGGTAATAAATAGTACAGATTATGCAGTTAAGGGCATTTATATATAAAGGAACTTGTGACAGGAAAAACATTCCATGTTCCATTTTTGTGAATCTATATAACAACATAACAGATGTTACAATAATAGTTCTGTGCAAATGTACTTTTTTTTGCAACTGACCAGTCCTGATTTATAGTTAGTACCCGAGCTACTTCTATTGACAAAATACATAATAGAGTGTAGGAGATTTTTTTTGTCTCACTTGGATATAGATACTTTGCACAGACAAATTAAAAAGGGGATCAGCACAAAAGGTAAGGGGAAACCTCTTTAATTGGCCTACATATATCAGATACAAAATAGGGAAGTCTCTGCACACTTGCCCATATTTATTTTCATCTTTTTATAATTACACTTCAGTTTATCTCAAGTTGCTAATCTGATCTGCTTGATCCAAAGGCCTTATTACCATGTGACTTAGATTCTGGGGCCAATGACACACTAAAACAAATCCAAACCTCACCAGTTCATTCCCCATCATTAAGTGTCCATTATTGTGCTAGGTTTTACTTTATTTTACCCATAAAATCCAAGTATGATGATCAAATTTAGCAAAAATTATGAACTTCTTCAGGCTGTGAAATCTAAGCTTAGTTGTTGAATATTAGATTAAAACAATGCAAATTTTGTAGCAATGTGTGCCAATTTGAAATATTTGAAGGTAAAACATTATTTATTAAATGTGCTCTTGCCATAAATAGTTCATTTTTGCTACAGAAATGCACCCTTTTGGTTTTGTTTCTGCAGCTAATCCCTTTTATGGTAACCAAGTGAAACTTCAACTGGATAATAGAGCCAATTTGGTGGCTTGGGAGAGGAAGATCTATTGACTGACTTTAGGTTGCCACCTTTGGGCAGATGAATTTACCAACTATTAGCTAAGGAGAACTGTACTGTTGCACATCAACTGCACTGTGTGTGGGTGAATAAAGTCAGCAGCTAGAAACTGTGAGTAGTCAGCTAATCGTTGGGTGGCACTGATGGTGAAAGAAGCGCAGGGAACTAAAGACAGGCAACCAGGTTCCCTAAAGCAGGAATGTAGAGGAGAAATAAAGAGTGTGATGTTGCCTGCTAATTCTGTACTTAAGTTTCAATTGGCCAGCAAAAAAAGGAAAACAGACCCACAAGAACCAAACTGCTTTCTGCAAAGAAATTCCCTTAGTACTTCTCAGAAGGCAACAAGCTACAATAATGCCAACTTAAACTTTATAATCTATGTACATGTTTCACTGCTAATAGATCAAAACAAACACACACTGAATATGATGGCAAGTTGCCTTTGAGGCTAGCCACAACTCTAAATAAGATGGAGTTGTACTGTATTGAGTCCCTACTTTGAGGCTGGGCATTTAGACTGTAGTGATCTTCTTGTCCTTGGTGGCCTGTTTTATAGCAGCCTGCTCACAGATGATCTCTTTCAGCCGCTGCAATCGCATGTTCTGAGTGGTCTGATCTCCAACTCCAGTTTGGCTGCGATGGAGGAGGCTTAAGGCGTTGATGTACTCCAATTCTGTGTACTTTACCCCTTGGTCCACCACTAGGTTGAGCAGCTCGTCTGGATTGTTGTACAGCATCTCATAGTATTGCCTGTGTAGCAAAACAGAAATGAAGGTCAACCAAGTGCGAATAACTTCACACGTGATATCTTAAAAATTGTAGGTATAAATGCTAACATTCATACACCTTCCTAACTGCCACTGAACCTGCATGTTAACCGTAGAAGTCCGAGTTCAGGATTCTCTTAAGTTCTTTTGTCCTCAGGTTTCTGAAGTCTTTTCCCATTTGGAAAACAGTCTACACCTCTATTCTTCCTACCTCACACTTTTCCACAATGTATTCTACCCGCCACTTCTTTGCCCACTCTCTTAGCCTGTCGAAGTCCTTCTGCAGCTCTATCATCTCCTCAACACTACCTGTCCCTCCACCTATTTTTGTGTCATCTGCAAAGATAGCAACAATGCTCTCGTTTCCTTCATTCAGACCGCTAATGTAGAATGTGAATAGTCCCATTACTGATACCTGTGAAACTCCACTAGTTACTGGCTGCTATCCTGAAAAAGACCCCTTTATCCCCACTCTCTGCCTATTGCCAGTCAGCTACTCTATCCATGCCAGTACTTTGCTCCTAACACCATGGGCTCATATCTTATTGAGCTGCCTTCTGTGTGGCACTCTGTCAAAAGCCTTCTGCTAATCCAAAATAGATCATTTCTACTGGCTCTCTTTTGTCTAACTGCTCATTATCTCCTCAAAGAATTTGAACTGATTTGTCAGGCATGACCTCCCCTGATGAAGCTGCGCTGACCCAGCCCGATTTTACCAAGCATTTCCAAGTACAGAAAACATTTTATTAACCAACTCCTCTGGGTCGAGGAATGTGCAGTTGATCAAATATTCAGATAATCAGAGGTCCACATAGTCAATGTAAATACACATACCAGGGAAAAGAACTGTAATGCAGAGGGTATACACATCACTGTTGTGCTTTATTTACAGCATAGATCACTGAAATAATAATTATACAATTTTGCCTTAAATAAAACTTACCGGCAGAGAGCCTTCTTATTTGCACCCTCACATGACTACTCCGACATTGTGGTAGATCGCGATATATGAGGAGAAACTGACTTGAAATTGAATCAACTGTTGTGGCCATTCGATTCAACAAGTATATTTACATTGATGTAAATAAATTAGAAAGCATTAATAACTGGAGAGAATAATATGTAAACTTTGCAGCATATAATTTTTGCTGGCTTATAAAATGCCGGTTAAAACAAAGTTTGCTGTACTCCGCAATCTCATTCTTAATAATGGACATTAAAACCATACCACCATACAAGGCCAGGCTAATTGGCCGATAATTTTCTGTCTTCTGCCTCCTCCCTTCACCAACAAGGAAGACTCTCCTCAACTCTAGTCATTCCTGAAAGATCACCACCAATGCCTCCAAAATCTCAACTATCTCTTTTTGAATCCTGAGGTGTAGTCCATCCAATATGGGTGATTTATTCAACTTTAGACCTTTCAGCTTCCCTAGTACATTCTCCTTCATGATGGCCACCTCACTCACCTCTGTCCCCAACCCTCTTGAAGCTCTGGTATGTTGCTGGTGTCTTTCACCATAAAGAGAGTTGCAAAGTACCTATTCAGTTGCTCTGCCATTTCTTTATTCCCCATTAATAATTCTCCAGCAGTCCAATGTCCACTCTCTAACCTTTCATGCATCTTAAAAAAAAACCTCTTGCAATGTTCTGTTATATTTCTAGCTAATGTGCTCTCATGTTTCATCTTCTTCCCCCTTTTGCTTTTTTAGTTGTCCTCTGCTGGTTTTTAAAGGCTGCCCAATCTTCTGGTTTTCCCACTGACCTTCACCAGATTATGTGCTTTTTCCTTTGTTTTTATGCTGTCCCTGACTTCCCTTGTCAGTCATGGTTGCCTCCTCCTCCCCTTAGTATTTTGCTTCTTCCTTGGGATGAATTTCTGCTGTGCCTCCTGAATTATCCCTAGAAACTCTTACCATTGCTGCTCCACAATTTTCCTTGCTAGGTTTCCCTTTCAGTCTACTCTGGCAAGCTCCTCCTTCATATCTTTGTATTTACTTTTACTCAATTGTAATACCATAACATCTGATTCCAGATTCTTCTCTCAAACCCTAGGGTGAATTCTATCATATTATGATAGAACCCTAGGGTTCCTTCACCTTAAGTGCCCTAATCATGTCTGCCTCACTACACATCAAATCAAGACCTGCCTGTTCCCTCATGGGCTCTACAACAAGCTGCTCCAAAAAAAAAAACATCTCATCGACATTCCAAAAATTTCTTTTCTTGGGGCCCACTACCAACTTGATTTTCCCAGTCCATGTGTATATTAAAGTTCCCCTTGATTATTGGAATGGTGCTTTTCTGACATGCCTTTGTCTTCTGATTTACTTTCTGCTCCACATCCTGCTACTGCGAGGAGGCCCCTACATAACTTTCAGCAAGGAGTTTTTCCTTTATGCTTCCTCTACCCATGCAGATTCTACCCTTTCCTCTTTCACTTCTTGCTATTGATTAAATTTCATTTCTTTCTAACAAGGCAACCCAGCCCTCTCTGCCCATCAAATGTGTCCTTTCGATAGGACACTTATCCTTAAGTACTGAGTTCCCAGCCCTGATGCTCTTGCAGCAATGTCTTTGTGATGGCCACAACATCATACCTGCTAATTTCAATCTGTGCTACAAGCTCATTTCCCTTGCTTCATTTGCTATGGGTATTTAAATACAATACCCTCAGTCCTGCATTGAACACCCTTTTCTCATTGTTGTCCCTTATCTGCTGTGACTGAAGTTAAATTCCTAACCCTTTCCATACTCTCTGTACTATTAGTTGTTCTGGAAACTTTAATACCCTTTCCTGAGCCTGTCTCCACATCCCAGCCGAAGTCCTCATGATCTCAATCTATCTCGAATTGCGTCATTACTTTGTCTACCTTATTCCGAATGTTTGTGCATGAAGATAAAAAGCCTTTATGTTTATTCTATTAGAGTTTCCTTACACTTTTAGGTCCTTGGTACAATGTGACATTCACACATTCTGATCCTTCTCTTTATTTTCTGGTAATAATCAACCGCATCATTAACCAGAAATTCTACCTTCTCCTTTACCTTTGATTTTATAGTTTTCCACGCGCCTACTCCTATTCAGTTTAAAGCCCTGTCCACAGCCCTAGTTATGTGTAGAACAGTTATAAGAAATGTTAGAATTAGATCTGCTGTAGGAGCTCGCAAGGAGTTGTCTGGTGTTGGCGCCATCTTGCATCTTGCACCTGTCCTGGGCTTCCAACGTAAATGCGACAGTCAAGAAGGCATAACAACGCGTCTTCTTCCTCAGGTGGCTCAGGAAATTTGGCGTGTCCATAGGGTCCCTCACCAACTTCTACAGATGCACCATTGAAAGCATACTGTCCGGGTGCATAATGGCCTGGTATGGCAACTGCTCTGCCCAGGACCGTAAAGAAATACTGAAGGTGGTGTGCACAGCCCAGGCCATCACGGAAGCCAACCTTCTATCCATGGGACTCTACTTACACGGCTCGCTGCCGCAGAAAGGCGGCCAACATCAAAGACCCATCGCACTTTAGTAATGACCTCCTAAAACCTCTTCCGTCAGGCAGAAGATACAGATGCCAGAACACACGCATGAGCAGGTTCAGGAACAGCTTCTTTCCAGCCATTATCAGATTGTTGAATGGGCTCTAGCCTCAAATAATGTGACCTGCAATGTAACCTGTATGCCTCTAAGTCTTTTTGATCTGTACATCTTTTGCTTGCTTTGATCTGCCTGTACCACTCGTAAACGAAGCTTTTCACTGCATTTCAGTACACATGACAATAAAATAAAAACCAAAATCAAATCAAATCAAATCAAAAGTGATTCACCAGGAGTCTGGTCCCGGCATAATTCAGATGGAGCCTTTCCTATCAAAACAGCTCCCCCCTTCCCCAGTACTAGTGCCAATGTTGCATCACTCCACTACTGTGATGGGTTTTATGCAGTTGAGGAAGGGTGGAGGCACAAATGGAACAAAAGAGAAGATCAAGGAAAGATTCGAGAGAGAGATTAGAGATAAAAGATGTCATGGAACAAAATGTAAGGTAGCATTATTCCAATGTGCAATTGTCGTAACCAATGCAGAGCAGACTGCAAAGTGAGCATAGAATGCCTACAGTGTGGGAAACAGGCCTTCGGTCCAACAAGTCCACAGCGACCCTCCGAATAGCATCCCATCCAGACTCACCCCCCTACCCTATCCCTGCAACCCCCGCAGCAAATCCACCTAACCTACACATCTCCAGACACTATGGGCAATTTAGCATCGCCAATCCACCTATCCTGCACATCTTTGGACTTTGGGATGAAACCAGAGAATCCAGAGGAAACCCACGTGGACACAGGGAAAAAATGCAAACTCCATACAGTCGCCGGAGATTGGAATTGAACCTGGGTCCCTGGGCCCTGTGTAGTAGCAGTGCTAACCACTCAGCCACCGTGCCGCCCAGTGTATACTTTAGAAAAAAGAACAAATATCTGGAACATATGTTTGGCTGTTGCATCGTGAGGAAGGCTGAGGCAAAAGGCTAAACACTGAATCTCCTGTAATTGCATTGCAAGGTGCCATAGGAGGGGAATGAGCTGTTGAGGTGATAGATGAGTGGTCCAGGCTATGGTGGAGACAATGATTCCTTTGGAATGCTGCCATGGGATGGAAGGAGGAGACGAAGACAGGGGAAGGGAAGATGGATTGGTGGTGGCATCATGTGGGATTTCACAGAAGTGGCAGAGGATAATGTTATGAATACAGAGGCTGGTGGTGTGGAAAATGAGGACAAAGGATGTTCATATTATGGCTCTTGGATGGTAGAGATGGGAGCAGAAGTGTGGGCAAGGTCAGGGCCGACTATTGAGGAAAAAGTAAGACATTATGGAAGTGTCATCGTGGAAGGTAGCAACATCAATAGGTGTAACAGCGAAATAGAAACTGGAAGATGGAACTGAATCCTTACAGGAAGGAGAGAAAGTGTAGTCAAGGTAATCATGAG